ACATGTTCTTCAAAATCTAGTATTTAGGCATGATTAATGTCAATCAATAGATCAATTGACCAGTATCTAACATTTATTAGTCTAAAAGCTCACATATTCAGTTACATATAACATTTTTATAAAAATCATCTAATTTTATACCTCAATTGAGGTCTGAATCTGTAACTATTGCAGTGTAACTTATAATAGGAATTTATATCTTATAGATTAAACCAGAATCGCTAATCCTAAAGAATAACCTGATATAATTTTTTTTTTTTTAAGTATAGCAGTTTTGCATGATCTTTATTAATTTATAATATACTAGATACATATAATGAAATAGAAAATACAAAAATATCTATAAATTAATTTATAAACTAAACTACTTTATCAATACTAACCTTACACTTTACCGAACTAAACTATAAACAGAAAAGAAAAGAAAAGAAACCTTAACCTAACTAAACTATTGTATAGCTATCAAACATTCAGAAAGGAAGGCATGGTTACTGCCATTTCAAAAATTTGACTAATGGAAGCCATAGGTGGTAACCGCTAAAAAGGATGTGAGATTCAATATGGTAGGAATAGAGGGGGAGTGTGGAAATCCAGAGGAGATCCAAGGGGTTGTAAAGTCATCTTCAATGTTATTATCAAATTTTCATTCATTAAAAGCAATATTTCTGTTATTCCATATCTCAAAACAGGACGTAGAAAAATCATGGTAAAGAGATGATAGTAGACCATATGACAGAGTTGATGTAGATACACACACAGTGACTTTATTTGATAATGATAAGGATATAATATCTTTGAGTAAGTCAATAATCCAAAAACTAGCTGAAGAGGATACCGAAGTCCAAATAGTATCTGACCATATTTCTTGTATTAGTGAATCATCTGTTAGAATATTCAATTCCTGGAGATGGGTAATAAATGAAATTTTGTGTTTAGTAATAATGTCATATAGGGTTAGGTTGTTCTTTGAATATAGCCAAAAGTGTTCAAAATCTTCAATAGTAGAGCGACAGCAGAAGCATTGTACTGAGGTATATATATCAGAAATGCGAGCATGTACTACTTCCAAGGTAGGGAGCATTTGAAGCAACATTTTGATTTTGAATTTCTTTTTAAAGTATCCTGTAAAGGATGTTTTATAAGACAATTCTTCATTATTGAGAATCTTGAAGAGAAGCGGCCAATCGATCAATTTATTATGATATGACCTCAGATGTGATAGTGACAATAGGGATTTAGCCCACATAGCTTGTATTTTGTTTTTTATAAAGAGATGATGAAGTGCTATAATAGGACTTGAATGATAGCAAAGATAGTAACCTGGACCCAAATGATCTTTGTTGATGGATAATTGGTGAGCAGGAAGTTGCTTTACAAGTTTATCTACTTTGTTATTGAGGAGGTCATCAGTGTGTACGTTGACTTTGGTAAAAGAAACTACTATGTGTTTTTGAGCTAACAAGCTAATAACATTGACTATATATGGAAATACAGAATTTTGAAAGCAGAGTTGATGGATAGTGAATTACAGAAGAGAAAAGAAAGCTTATGGAAAGAGGAAATAGTGACTTGTGAATCAGTGCAAATTTCAATATCAGAATTGTAAGGCAAAACATAGATTGCGGCTAAAATAGCTACAATTTCTGCAAGAGTGGAAGAAGGACTTTGTGAAAGAAGAAAAGCATTGAAGGATAATGATGGCCAATTAGGATCAGTCTGCAACTACATAATACCTAAATGAACATTTGAAGAGCCTAAAGAGATTAAAGAACCATCTGTATAAAATTAAAGAAAAGAGGCAGAAGTAAAATTAGTTTTAATATTATTAAATAAATTTATTGAATAAATATCAAATGACAAAATATCAAGGTTGAGTATTGGTCTGTTTGGATATTGATATAGATTAGTTAATTTAGATAGAACGATCTTTCTTAGCATAAGATCAGAAAGGCTGCATCTCCATCCTATATGTTTGTTATATTGAATTTTAATTTCAGTGCAGAATTGGAGTGAAAGCTTTATTGCACAAAAATTATGCTTATTCTTGTGAATGGTGGTGACTATTGCTGTAGGATCAAAAAGACTACATCTGTTGCATGGAAAAATGTCAGCTCTAGAATTTGAATCATGTGTGGATTTGTAATGTTGAACATAAATTGTGTCATTATCAATAGCTTTAACTTTCCAATAATGTAGGTCATAAATTGGTTGGACCAAATAACTACAAAAGTAGGATTATTGTTGTCATTCTCTTTTAATCTAATGGTAGTCAGTGATAAATCACATATTGAAGGATGAGATTGACATGTGGGTGTCATAATTCTATTAGATGTATCAGAAATAAGTCGAGATTCTAAACTCAGAAACCAATTTGCACATGAAATATTAGTGTTAAGAAGCCAGTTGATATCAAAAAATATAAAAAGATAGCATCCATCCATCGAGATAAGCTGATCCACAAACATGATTGATAGAATACGAATATTCTTAATGGATTTCCTATAAGTATTCATAGGTAAAATTGCTGAGATAGGTATAGATCCCCTCATAATTTGAGTTAAATCAAAGTGTTCATCCAAACATTTTCTGAAATTAAGGCCTTCTAATTTAGCTGCTGATAAGAAAGAAGACCATCAGTCTTTAAAAAGTAATAGGTTCTCATAGGGCCAACTGGTAACAGGTGATAGGTGTAACCATTCTAGAAGCTGAAGTTGTATGATTCTCAGCCTAGCAGTATTATCTAGCAGAGCAATGTCATTGATCATTTTAAGGAAATTAGATGATTTTGCTAATATTTGTTTATCATAAAGGTGAGCCAAGTTGTATCTAAATGTTGAGTGTATAATAGGGACAGGCAAAGATTTAGTAAGACAAAGTTTGTTTTTGAAAAAGGCTCTGAACGAAGCCATTAAAAAATTACAGAAATTTGCTAGAAGAAAGGTCAATTTAATTTTGTAAATAATCCTAAGGATGATCACAGAATTAAAAACTGCCACAATTTGTTTGGCTGTGAGTCATTTTTTATCTAAAACATTTTTGACTTTTTTGAATTCCATAGAGACCTGATTTTTGATATATGGGGCGTTATCAAAAAGTAATATTAGATACTAAGATAACAAATTGAATCTTTATGTGAGAGTGAAGAGAGTCAAATATCCTTATTATTGAAGGCAAAGTTAACAGCACTAGTATCCTTATTGTTCATTAATAGAACTGATTTGTCCCAATTTACTTGGATACTATTAAGGGTGAAGAAAGAGTCTGCAAAAGTCATAATGTTTTGGAGATCAGTTCTAGAATCTGCCATCTAGAGAGTATCATCCATATAAGTGAGCACTAGGATGTGATTTGTGAAAGGAATTGAGGAGTTTTTTGTGATGTCATTCCTCCAATTGACGCTTTGAGTGTAACCTAGTATGGAGTTTTGTATTTTGCATAATAGTGGATCATAATAAATGCATCATAATATTGGAGAGATGATTTTACCTTGGTCAATACCTGACAGAACATAGTAGGCATTAGTATTACCATACATAGTAAATATCTGATAAAAACGGGAGGGAGAGGAAGGGGGGGGAAAAGGAGGGGGTAAAGATTAAAATTATTAGTTGGATGAAGGTCATCAGCAGGTGTAGTCGAGTAAGCGCTCTAATTAACATTCTAAGGTTGACTCTGTCATATGCTTTCGACATGTCTTAAAATAAAATTCAAAGGTTGTTGTGATGAAATGATGCATCATATTTAATGTTATCAAAAATATTAATTAGTTCAAAGGTGTTTTTAAAGGGGAGACCAGCAAAATTGTTGCCTTTGAGAACATTATTTTTAGCTAAAATGGTGAGAAGTTGACTGTTAATAAGTTTGATGAGAGCTAATGTTCCGCAAAATCAGATCGGATCAGATTTGGATAAAATCCGATCCGATCCGATTTTCATTTTTCAGGATCCGAATCTGATCTGAATCTGACGGATCCGTTGAAATCCAGTTCCGATCTGAATCCGACGGATCGAATCTCAAATCTGGATCCGATGGATCAGTTTAAATCCAAATCCGATCCGATTCGGATCTGAAATTTTTATTGAAAAACGATTTTTCAGCTCTAAAAGAGTTCCGAAAAGTCGTTCCTTTACAATGAAAGGAACCTTTTCGGCTCTAAAAGAGTTCCGAAAAGTCGTTCCTTTACAATGAAAGGAACCTTTTCGGCTCTAAAAGAGTTCCGAAAAGTTGTTCCTTTACAATGAAAGGAACCTTTTCGGCTCTAAAAGAGTTCCGAAAAGTCGTTCCTTTACAATGAAGGGAACCTTTTCAGCTCTAAAAGAGTTCTGAAAAGTCGTTCCTTTACAATGAAGGGAACCTTTTCGGCTCTAAAAGAGTTCTGAAAAGTCGTTCCTTTATAATGAAGGGAACCTTTTCAGCTCTAAAAGAGTTCCGAAAAGTTGTTCCTTTTTAATGAAAGGAAACGAATTTTCGGTTCTATGAGATCTGAAATTTTTTCTTTTAATGAAAGGAACCTTTTTGGCTCTAAAAGAGTTCTAAAAAGTCGTTCCTTTACAATGAAGGGAACCTTTTTGGCTCTAAAAGAGTTCCAAAAAGTCATTCCTTTACAATAAAGAGAACCTTTTTGGCTTTAAAAGAGTTCCAAAAAGTTGTTCCTTTATAATAAAGGGAACCTTTTTGGCTCTAAAAGAGTTCTGAAAAGTCGTTTCTTTACAATGAAGGGAACCTTTTCGGCTCTAAAAGAGTTCTGAAAAGTCATTTCTTTACAATGAAAGGAACCTTTTCGGCTCTAAAAAAACTCCGAATTCTTATTTTTCAGTTCTAAGGTTTAATCTAATTTAATAAAATTTTATGCAATATACAATAATTAAATTTTATTTCATAAATTTTATTATTATAAATATAAAAATAAATAAATAAATACATAAATAAATAAAAAAAATATATATAAAAAATATAAAAATAAAAATAAATTTTTTTTTAAAAAAACTTTTAATTGCTACTTAATTATTTAATTCATTTAAAGGACCAGTCCACCATGATTTTAAACACATACAATATCTTACTGTTTTTCCTAATAAACGATTTCTTTTATCTGTAATTAAATTTTTACATATTGAAAAACTTTGTTCAGATGGAACACTAGTAGCAGGTATTGATAAATAATCTCTTGCCATTTTGGATAAATTTGGATATTGACTTTCATTAATTTTCCACCATTCAAGTAGATCTGTTTTTTCACCACATGTAAGTGAAGCAAGATATGTTTGAGCTTCATTTACATTTTCTATATTATTATGTTTAAATATACTTGAAATAATAGATCTATTTTCATTTTCATATAATATATTAGAAGTTATTTCATTAAGTGATTTGTAATATGTATTATAATTAGATAAAAAACTAAAAAAAAAAATAGATATTATTAATATAATTATAATTATAATTTCTATAAAAAAAATAATAAAAAAACTAACCTTTCTTGAATTGTTTTTATTAATTCATCACCCCATTCTTTACCTTTAAAATATTGTAATTTTAATCTTGAATCCAAAATAGTTGCAAATAAATATATGTTATTTGTTTTGTTATAATATTCTAATATTTTTTCTTTACATTTTTCAGCAGCTAATTTAATTGAAGGTAATGTATTTATATTATCAATAGTATCTTCTATATGATCAATAAGAAGATTATATAAAGGAATTACAGTAGAAATTGTAGGATAAGTAAATCCAGACATTATAATTGTTACTTCTTTAAATAATATAAGAAACTTTGCTATTTGTTCTAAATTATTCCAATCTTCATCTGTAAGTATATCTTTTTTAAGTTCACGATCAGATAATATAACTGGTTCTAAAGCCTAAATTATAAAATTATAAATTAAATTTAATTATAAAATTATTATAAAAAAAGTATAGTAAAATATTTACATT